AACAGGGCTACAGCGTGTAACTGTAACAACACAGCAGCAAACCTCTGCACCATCAAAGACCCCGGTTTCTGCACGTATATATGACCTATTTGCGCTGCGTGTGCCGTAAGACTCTGACTACAACAAAGAGACTCACGTTTTATTGCTCCTGCATGGGTAGTACTCACACGTGGTTGTCTCGATGAGCTCAGCGCACGGCCAGCCGCACACCGTTTTCCTACACTGCGGTCTGCTCATGCCCGGGCACATACACAGGGTACAGGCCCCGGTTAGGAACTTTTTCTCGTGGAGGTTTATCTGGCACAGCGCGTGGACGAGTTGCGGCTCCCAGCCTTCGCAGACGCCACGGCCTAGGCGACCCCCCATAAGGAAAAAGCACTTCTTCTCTCCCTCCGTGCCCGCCGAGCGGCTGACGTTCATGGCGCTGTCTACGTCACCAATCTTCTCCACGATCTCGCCCGACGTGTACCACCGGAAGACAGATGTGCTGCCAAACGACACGGCGCCCACCACCAGGGGCTCATACGGAGCCACTGCCGTTTTGTTCACGTAGGTCAGCGTCGTGTCGTCAGCCGGAGTTGGGAACTCGGCGAGAAAGCCGTTCAGCCGAGAGCACGTTTGGACCGCGTCCCAAAAAGAAGTGACGTGGCCAGCGTTTGCGTAGAAGACGCGGCTCTCTGATTGGCTGCAGTGTCTGGCCCACAGCGCAGGGACTGAGAGCGAGGCGATGGTAATGGCCACCGGAAGGAGAACTAGGGCCATGTCTTGTGGACTTCAGAGACGACTCAATCTGAAAGAGAATCAACTCTATTTGTCGCCGTTTTTGTTTTTGTTTTCTTTTTTTTTCATCAACTTCAACCGTTCATAAATTGTTGGGGGGGGGGTTAAGATCTAGATCTAATTCATTTTTAAGTTCGATTTTCTTTTGTCTTATATTCTAATAGGCAAACTACAATACGCATAGAGGGTGGGTGGTTGGCGGGTGCGCTGGTGTGGTCTGCCCCTTTCTTTCCCATCAAACATCTAACGTCCTTATCTCTCCTCCTTTTCTGTTTGTAACTCTCTTGTAACATCTCTAATCTGTGGGACTTAAATGACTTTATGGTGTTGCAAGTGCCGTAAAACACTTACTAAAACTAAACAACACGCATACATCTATGAAAATGGCAAATTTGTCTTTTGATCGAAGTTTGCCTCATCATGGCCTCTGGTCAGTTGTCGGACATATTATCCTTCGTTTTGGTAAGAGTTTTACGGCGTTCTCAACTGTGTGAGATCATATGAGCACTCGAGACACAAATTAATTGTTTTCACATTGAGCATTTTTGGTTTTGGCAGGAATTAATTTTGAATTTTTACTCGGGCGGCGGCTGAAGTCTGGAACTGTACTCCCTTTATGAGTGAAACCTATATACAACAACCAAGGAGAACCTTATTTCATTACCAGATAATTCACAGATCTGTGGAATGGTTATAAATGATGTAAAATGTCCGTAGAAAGCGATATCAAGAAAAGCTGAAGACTTTCTACGTTGCCGAAGAAGGATATTACGTCACCGAGTGCACAATGTATAAAAATACGACTTCCGTATTGAAATTCTTCAAAAGTTGAACGTCTTTGAAATTTGCAGAGCTGTAAAGAGATACTACTCCTTGACATCTCGTACAAAGACCACGTTTCAAATGCTGGGATAAGGAACAGACTCACCAACGCAGTGGGGCAGCATGAAAATCTACTGACCACAGTGAAGAGACGAAAATTAAAATGGTATGGGCACGTCACAAGATCCACAGGACTTGCCAAAACAATCTTACAAGGAACCGTACAAGGAAAGAGAAAGAGAAGAAGGCAGAGAAGGAGAAGGGGAGGACAACAAAAGAGTGGACAGGAAAGACGATGGATGACAATCTGAGGAAAGCAGAGGACAAAGATAAATGGCGAGAGCTGGTATCTGATGCAGTGGTGCCCCCACGGTTGCCCCTACCACGGGATAGAAGAAGAAGAAGAAGAAGAAGAAGAAGAAGAAGAAGAAGAAGAAGAAGAAG